CTGGAAGACACAGAGAAAATACATCTGTCAGCATATTGGACCAGGCAGACTATGTATAGGGCTAACGATGAAGCAATGAAGAGCAGAGCAGTGGAGGAATTGTGTCGTGAAAGGGTTTACCTAATGGAGATAGTTAGCTGGACGAGACAGAGATGAGGCCTGTGAGGAGTAGTATGACACAAGGAGCGGTAAATGAGTAGGTAACGCCAACTTATCATGATCTAACGCTGCCACATAGAACAGGGCGCGGCATTGCGTGACAGACGGCACGGTACCATACACAAAACACAAGCCACTACTCACAGAAACTGCATTACAAGGCAGGGCACGAACGGGCCAACACCAGGACAGTATAAAACACCTTGCGGTACCAGTCGAACAGGCAACAAAACATTCAGCCGCACGGCATAAAGTCATAACAAAACATGGTAACGTGTGACCTTCACTGCATGGGACAGCTTAATAACACGGATAACATGAGCCCCACAACATGACAGGAGCACATGCATGCGCTCCTTGTCTTATGAATATCTTCAGTGCAACACCAACAGGGCACAAACAGCGTAGCCTTGTCCGTCAGCGCCCCATGGTCAGTCATGTTTCACCCATGAACCAAGCTCGACTATCTACCACTGCAAATGCCGGGAATCCACCGGGCTAATGTCTGAGGCGCAATAGCTGCCAGCTGGGACTTTGAGCGCCAGCGTTCAACTCATCAGGGACACTGATAATTCAGTGCAGGGGACGGCTTTGTATCTGTATCAGGGCCGATACCGAGCACTGAGCAGCAGGGGCGGGGGCGGGGGCGGGGGCGGCCGTGACCGCGGCCGTGGCGGCGGCGGTACCACTTTCACCGGTCGGCCCGGCGCAGTCGGCCCGCTCAGCGCCATCACGAAGCTGGCGGCCGGCCAGCTGGGGCCGCGGAGGGAGCATCCCGTCCGGCCGAGATGACCGCCTGCCGACACACGACACTCTGCTGTGCTCCGCCGGCCCTCCCGGCCGCGTGCCGGTGTATGCGTGTGACCGATCGATAATGATGCAGTCGCACCGCCCGCCGGGCGCGCCGCCGGCGGAGCACGGCCGCGGGGAGCCGCCGCGCCCGCCGTAACCACCACCCCGGCCGCTCGGCAGCGCACGCAGGGCGCGGCGCGTGCACTCCGCCGCCCACGCGAGAGGACGCGGAGCCGCCGCACGAGGCCGCAAGAACGCGGCGCCGCCGCGCTGCGCGACCCCAGCAAGGCAATCAGTCCGGGCAGAGCGGCGGGCCGGCGGTGGCAAAAACAGCAGCGCCGGGCGCGCCGCTGAGCGGCCATCGGTCGCGGCCGGGCCGACGATAGGCGCCGACGGACACCGACACAGATCCTCCGACATACCGACACAGACACAAGGGCACGTCGGCAGAAACACAGACACAGATACACCGACACTCCGACAGAGTCGCACATTCGCCCGCGCAAGCACACACTGTAACACACGGGAGCGGCGATGAATACAAATGCCCTACCAGCAGATAAAAACAACCCGCTCGAGCAGCAAACTACACAAACAAGTAGACGCCGACTGTCTGTTCAACAGGCCCTAACTCACGGTTCCACTCCACGGAATACCCAGCGCCCATTATTCCACGCGATCCGTGCAAGCCTGACATGCACAATCTCGGATGTATCAGCAGTTCGGCCGTGCGCCGCTCGGGCCGTGACCCGGTCCCGTTCCACCGTGGGATCAGTCATTATTGCGCTCGGCTGCGGCAGCCGGCAATCAGAGCGTATTCACCGGATGCCTATCGAAAACCCATTAACAGACCCTCTAATTGTCTTGGTAATGGATTACATGTGGAAATCGCCTCCGAACGGGACGACGACAGGTGAATTTATTCAGCCGATCGGCGTGTTTTTCGGCGTCGGAATGCCTCGTCGGAAAATAAGCCGCCGAGGCGAGCCACGTCGGCTGCGAGGAGGCGCAGGTGGAGCCATGGTGGTAACTCCTGCGGAGAGGGGCGGCGGAGAGGAGGCTGCGACCAAGGCTGGCGCCAGGTCAGCCGGGTCGCCAGGTCGCCGGGGTCGGGTCGGGCGGCGGCCGGTCCTCTGAAAATAACCGGGCTCAGCCGCAACGTACGAATCTGGCGGCGTTCGGCCGCCCGGGACGGCCGCCGTCATATTATTAAGATCATCGGCCGGAAAACAACCCCCCCCCCTGATGGATGACGTGGCCGCTAACTAATAGCGGCCGGCTGTGATGGAGCGGTCGGCGGCGGCCGAGGTGGCGCCGCGCCGACCCGTCCCGCGCCGCCTAATCACACTGATTAGAGCCCGGCCGGTTAGGTGGCACATGAGGGTGAGCGATTTCTGGGTCGTCGCGGTGCCGACCCGCCGGCCGGCGCACCACAGAGCGCGTTAGTTAGTGAGAAAACAAGGCCGACAAAAAGCCGCCGTAATTCACAGGAAACCTTGGAGGTGAACCCACACGACGTCGGCGAACTGAGCTGCTATTTTTTACACGCCACCGGCGCCACTGCACTGGTAGCCACCCACGGCGCGTCGCGCCCGACTCTGCGCGCGGCGCCTGGCGCAGGTAGAGCGTTGATTGTTTACACCCCGTTCCGGAGCGGGCACCGGGCACCCACGTGAGCGGCGGCCGGCGGGTCCGCGGGTCCGCGTGACGGCGGCGTTCGGCTCAAGTCACGGGGCCGGCTGATGCAACAGACTCACTCCGAGCTGTCGTCGCGCTGAGGCCGCTGAGGCCACGGTGCACTGAGTTCACAGCTGACTGCGGCCGCCCCCGCCCCGGCCCCCGCCCCGGGGCGACCGGGGCCAGCCGGCGTGCCGCCCGTGCGACCCCAGCTGGGAGACGCCATGTGCTATAAAGTCCACATCAACGGCAGCAACGGTGACGAGGGCAGCAATGGCGAGGACAAGGGATGGAGTGTGACGTTAGGAAGCGCGGCCATGTCTAACGACTTAAAATTAACCCGACAGATGAACTGCGCCAAGGCCGCCCCGGACAGACGCAGCAATCACCACAAAGGTCACGGTCGCGGAGTCAGCGTCGGGACGGTTCCTCATCCTGGGGCACTGCCCGCGGCCGATAGTAGCTGGATCCATCAGCGGCGTCAACCGGTGCTCGGCTGTGGTGGGTTCAGGGCCTCGCCCCGGGGTCAGGTGGTTGGTGGCGGCCCGGGGGTGAGCGTCCCCGCTCGTGGCGGCGACGGTGGCCGTTGGCTGTCGATCGCCAGTCGTCGGGCGGCGGATAATCGGTCGTCGGTGCCAGCCACCGTCAGGGGCGGAGAACCGTCGACGTCGACACAGTCGGCCCCATTTTTTGTTGCAGCCGCCTGCGTCAAATGTCGCCAGCAGGTGGCTATTCTCGATGGACCTTGGCAGCCAGTGGCGGCGTCTTTTTAGCGCGCCATGCCGAACTCTAGGTCGAAAGAGGCAAAAACACATGTGAAAAACTCGAACTGTTGGCACTAACTTCACCTTGTGCTCGTTCAGAGCCCATGACAGTTTGCTGACTCTGGGCGCAGGCTCAGACGCGCGGCAGTGTCTCCTAAAAACACGCCTGAAACAAAGAGATCCACTGTCTAATGTCTGTGCCCCGATACGGCGCCGCGTGACGCCAGAGGCCTGACATTCTTCGCACAGCTCCCGGCAGTATAAACGAACGGCTCTGCCACCGTCCGGCCTCTCCAATGTGACAGGACAAAAAGACAGATACCAATCTCTGCACAAAAGAGCCACAGAAACAATAAGACCCACCCACACCGCCGACCAACGGGGGCGTCAGATACCAGTTGCCGACACTTGGTGAGGTCCGATATCTTCTTGGAGGATCAGACCGAATCAACTGCCGAAGCGATAGCCACCTCGCTTCGGCTTTGTCGTATCTGTTACAATAAAGCATGAGGCCCTGGTGAGTAGGTAACTGGCGATAGCTAAGCGCGCAGTGGAAGGCCGTCCTGAAATATTCGCTCCATCCCTACCTCATTTCCATGAGAATAAAGTAGAACCGCCTTTCATCAAGCTACCCCATTTGCCGCTCTGACACATCCCACAACCGGTACGCAGCGAGGACTACACCGCCCTCGTTCACTGTCTCAGTGATCTGTCACAATGTCCGGTGACCGGTCACATGACCTGAGGCCAAAGGACAGCGCCGGACCCGCTCTGCATCGCCGACGGCAGCGGTGAAGGAACATCCCCGGCTGAATTGTAACATGTCCGCGGTTCGAGAGGAGCCAGGCCGAGGTCGGGGCGACGGCACCCTGCATCATGATGCCCAGAGAGGTCTCGGAACTTGCGCTGCCCAGCTCGACCGTCTGACCACTGCCGGGCCAATCTCCGGGCCTGAGGTGACCCGGAGTCCACGTGACCGGGCGCGCCGGCCGGCCACGCACACAGCGCCCCGCTCGCTTTTTGTGTCGGCATCTCGCCGCTGTTGTTCCCAGTTTATCGCCGATAAATCACGCTGCGGCCCGCCCTAATGGCGGCGCACAAAACCTGCCGGCCGATGTCCGCTCGGCCTTCCCTGCCGGCGCACGGGCCGACAACGGGTGTCCGGGCTGAGAGCCGGTCAGACGCTCTCGGTGAGGAGCTGAACTGACCTGGGATCAGAGCTGCTGGGAGATGGTGCTGGCAGGGTTAGCTTTGGCTGAACCCACTGAGGGAATGTATCGAAAGGCGATAAGGATACAGACTCTAGTGACATGACCCTACCGATACATACAAATCATCTAATATATTTTCTGATTCAATGAGTGCACTCAAGAGTAAGGAAACCTTTGTGTAGTTCCTTTGATGCGCATTTTACACTTAACAGTTTGGAAGAAAGCAGCACCCTTCCCAAAATGCGACAAGCGATACAACGTTTATCAATATCACTAAAAGCAACGGGTGCGCCAGCGCCGTACCAATTAAACGGAGCGCCGTAACGACCCATATCAGTTATGTTCGCCCAATGAAACCGCCCAACTGCGGATGTTTTCCGCTGTAAGCGGCGAGCAG